GCAAACAGAAAGCTGGAGGTCTAGTTCCACCCAAATCCATATTCTTACCACCCATAATCAAGAACACTTTAAAATATTGTTATCACAAATATGTATTATCTCGTATTATATTGTGATGTATGATCATCTTATGTATAAATTAAACTATTATAAAAAATTTACTTTTTTAGTTAACTATGTCATAATACGCTGACTCCCTCCCCAACTTATTCGCATTATTCTATATATATGTCATCCTCTCTTATTTGTGTGCATCGGTACCCCACGTTCAATTAATAATAACATAGCAAGTGCCACTACACAAATAATATCATTTTATTCCATCTAAATACTGACAAGAGATCAAAGAGATTGTTTGTCGTCATTGAAAATTACTTATGTCATAGCAAATAGAACATGGTGATAAATATTTAATTCATCTGCATGTTTATATGTACTTGCATGACTGATTTTAATTTAACGTTTCTCTATTGTATTCCACCATCAAACTCAGTAATTAAACTTCCTCTGTCCCAATTTTTCCTAAAGGTGTTTGGATTTCGAAAGTCAAACGAATTATTCTTTTGATCATAATTTTTATATACTTTTTAAATATTTTAAATTATTAATTAATGTAACTTACAACACTTTTTAAATAATTTTTAAATATATAAATTTTATTTTTAAAAATTTAAAAATACGATGTCCATGATCAAAATTAAGAATTTTAAATCTCGAAAGTGAAAATTATCATATAAATTGGGGCAAATGTCTATTTTTATGACACATTTCCAAAAAGATGAATATTTTTTATATTTAAAATAATTTCATTTAAATTTGATATTTTACTCTTAACGAGATGGTTTATATCACACAATTACATATATCTTATTTTAATTCAAAAAATCTTCTTCTTTTTTTTTCTTAAGTTTGGTGCCAAATAAATTTGGAGTAGAGGTGGAAAAATGGTTAAAAAAAAACAGTTAACCATCCATATTATCTACTAAAAATGGGTTGGATAATAAACTTTTTAAAAACGGATCAAATATGAATAAGAACCATATTATTCATTTAGAAAATGAATAACTAACGTGTTTAACTTTTACATTTATAAAATCTCAAACTGGGGTTCCTCAAGTTTGAGAGACTAGGAATTATCCCAAAAGTGATCATATTCATGAAGTCATGGATAAGATGGTTACTCAAATTATCCGCCGGTTAACCCGTTTTTTATCCATATTAAATATGGATCGGATCAGATCGGATAATTTATCCGTTTTTTCATTACTCGTTTTCGACCCGTCCCGTCCGTTTGCCGCCCTACATTGGAGTATTACAAAAAATGGGAAGAAGAAAGTAATGTCATATAATGAGGACTAGTTAGAATCTAGACTACGAACAATAAATGCATAGAGATAGAGAGAGATTCGAATTACCGGTCGAGTCTTGTGACTGAGAACAAGATGAATGAGAACAGCAGCCAAAAGTGAGCGGAAAATATTACGTCCCAGTTTTCTGAAACCTGAACAGATGATAAATCATAAATATAGTAAGAAAATTCCTGAAAGAAAAAAAAATAATTAGAAAGAAAATTAAAGGAAACTATCAAATTTACCATAAATAATAATTAAAAAAAATAGAGAAAAAGTGCACACCTAGATATGTTTCCCAAGGCTATATTATTCCATCTTTGTTGATATCAAAGAACATTACATGTTTTTCTAAAGGAGTAAGCTGGTCATGATTTCCCATCCCTGCAGGCACATGCATATGTTTTCTCAATACCAAAAAGGCACACGTTTAAGACAAGAGGGGTTCTGATGGCAAGCAACCTCCACTTCTAACCAAGAGATTGTGAATTCGAGTCTCCCCAAGAGCAAGGTGGGAAATTCTTGGAGGGAAGGATGCCGGGGGTCTATTTGGAAACAGCCTCTCTACCCCAGGATGGGTGTAAGGTCTGCGTACACACTTACCCTCCCCAGACCCAACTAAGTGGGATTGTATACTCCACTATGTGGAATTATACTGAGTTGTTGTTGTTGTTGTAAAAAGCACACTTTTGTATTTGAACATTTGACTTAAAATGATTTTTGAACTCACACAGTCTTTATACTAGAATCTTCGTTTATGTCAAAGAGATTCAACAGTTTATATGTCCATAATAAAAAATAAAAAAACTTATTACTATTCCTATTTTGCACGCTATAATATACTCCCTCCGTTTCAATTTATGTGAACTCATTTGACTGGGCACGTAGTTTAAGAAAAGAGAGAAGACTTTTGAACTTGTGGTGTATAATGAGACACATATATTTTGTGTGGCTATAAATCATTACATAAAGGTAAATTGTTTTCAAATAAGGAAAGAGGTCATTCTTTTTGGCACGGACCAAAAAGGAAATAAGTTTACATAAATTGAAACGGAGGGAGTATATTTTAGCGAAAGGGATTCAGTTGGACTATTTTGACTCTATATAACTCTGCCGCTGTGCATGTCTCTAGAGAGTCTGAGAGAGAGAGAGATGCATACCATCAGGTTGAAGGCTGCTTGATGAAGCCATTGAATCAAACTGCAACTACTGAATGTTTTCTTTGTGAATGAAGAAGAAAGAAAAAGGAAGATATATATATAGTTAATAATTAAGATGAACGAGATAATGGTACTTTAACATGATTTGCTTGATTGGAGGAGAAAGTGAAGAAAATATCATGAAAGAAGTTTTTCTTATAAAGATATTATCTTTCCTTCCTAAATGCATATTAATTATTTTCGTTAGTGGTTCCTGTAGAACCACGAGTGTTATTTGGAGTTGACATTTCTTGGAAATAGAAAAGGCCCATCCTTTTTGCTGAGAAACATAAATTAGTCAGTTGAACTGTATTTTTATATTATTGTAGATATGACACAGACCGAACATTACTCAATTATTGGGCAATTTGTATCTTATCGTAAAAAGGACCCAATCCTCAAAAAGTTGTTTAGCGACGGATTGCTACGGAATAATAGTTTCGTTGCCAAAAAAGCCAAAAAATAGTTAGCATATAATATAGCGACGAAATCGAAAAATCGTTGCTAAATATTGGCGCCCTCAATATAGCTACAGATTTAGCGACAAAACCTGAGCGACAAAATTTATTTACCTACAACGACGGAATTAGCAACGAAATGTCCGTCGCTATGTTTAATTTCTTTATCAAAATTTTTTTAAGCTCCTTGCTACTGAAATTTCCGTCGATAATGTTATATCTAGTAAACAATAATATCATTATTAGCGACGGAAATAAGCCGTAGCTAATTCCGTTGTTGAATACCACTTAATTATTTATCCTAGGGCACAAAATTTGTAAAAGTTCGGTGTCTTCTTCTTCTAACAGGGTAGAACGCTGGGAGCAAATATAGTCGGCTGGGAGCAAAATCAATGGAAAACGCACTTGAGAGCAAGAACAAGGGCAAAAATTAGTAGCCAACGTGAATTTAAGGTGTGTAGATGGCTTTAATTTGTTTCTTCTTCTATTTCTTATTAATCAGTAGCTTGATGGTGGTGCTAATGACTACGAATACTATGTTCATTACACTGAATGTGAGTGAACATTTTCAAATTAATTGTTTTCTTTTTATTTTATTTGCATCAATTTGGAGTAGCTAGGGCTTGGAGCTTTATCAGATTTTAATTGTAAAAGGAGGCTTTTTTGTATGTAAAGTTCTTTTCTTTCATGGTTGGACTTGTGTTTCTGGTTTAATTTTCAAGATAGGATCTTTTTTACGTGACTAATTAGGTTTTCACTATATTTGTATTTGCTTCTTTTACAGTTTTACTGACTCTTTATGTGCTTGTCTTGGTGAAGAGGTTATGTGTTATTAGCAAAATTGGGTTTTAATTTGACTTAAAATGGATATAGAATAGTATCTATCAAGTCTTGACTTTGGTTGTGATAAGCAATTTTTCATTTTTTCCCCTTGATGAAATCTCCCAAAGTGCAAGATCCTTTTATTATTCAATCTCCTTTGTTTTTAAGAAGGTTTGGAGTATGTAATTTTTGTTCTCCCCTCTTCACCTTACTAGGGTTTTAGTTTGTTTTATATAATTTGAAATTGAATTTGAGAAATTCTGTGGATTAGTTTTTACTGTATCTGTTATTCTACTGCGATTTGATCTTGTGAGCTTTTTTTCTTATTTTAGTTGAATAATTGCCATTTATGGCTAACTGTAGTTCCTGCACTTCCTTTTTCTCCATATCAGCAAGCATGTTCTAGCAACATTGTTGACAGGTAAAATAATGTGTCACTTTCTTTTAAGTTATTCAAACAAATCTTGCCTTGTAGAATCAGTTGATCATCTTTGGTAGATATTTACATCTATTTGGCTTCGAATTTCATCTTTGTTTGGTATATGAGAACTTTTCTTCTGCATATGAAATATTAGTATTTCACTGATCTCCCTGTAGCCTTGGTATGATTGAGAATATATCTATATTTATTGCTTTTCTTTGATGTCTAACTTCTCACTCATTTCCCTAAATTTATCGCTTACTATTAAATTTGAAAATCTAGCAGTTGGGAACAACTTTGGAAAGATCCCAAGTGTGTTGAAAAGTCAGAAACAAATGCAAAGAATCGTCGTGGCGGTAGGAGTGGAGTCTCCACTGAGACTCACACAGGCGGCTCTGTCTCCATTGGGGAGTATCGCAAGAGACTTGTAAGTATATCGCAACCTTAGCTTTATTGCAAATCTAAACTTAAAATTTCTTCTTGTTGGTGCTAAGAATTACTTATAATTATATAAATATATGTCTGCTCTTATTTCAGAATTGCTTATAATTATATGTTTGCTCTTATTTCATACCTGCAACTCGTTTGAGAATTCTCCTACCTGCAAAATAATAGTTAAAGATTGAGAAATTTTTATTCACAATGACACAATAAATATTTGATTTTTTTATAGTTTAAGGTAAAACTAGGAATGGCCCTCTTACCTTCAGCCATGAGTTTAACATGTAAAAAATGTTTGTCCGTAGATTTCTATGGCAAGAGACACAAAGCTGAGTCACGCCATTGGACTTTCTTCTTCAGAAAGTGTAAAAAAGCAGAGAAGTTTGGTATCTTAAAGGGAATGACCTAAAACCTCATATTATGAGCCTTACAGAAATTCCTAGAATTGTTTTGTTGGCAGAGAAATAGAGGTTTAATTAAGACTAAAGAAGTTGTACAAAAAAAATGGAGGAGAAATGATAGAAATAATAATACAGTTAATAGAACAAATATGGATTTGAGCACTCATAAAAAAATANGTGATTTATCTCATAACACCACCACTAATTACCTTAGTTGTAACGACCCGACCGGTCATTTTTAACTTTAGCATTTCGTTCGGTGGGTTGAGACATTGAGTAGCTTCATTTGATGTATTATAACTTGCGGCTATAGTCAGTTTTAGTTTTCAAGTGGTTTGGGATTGATTTGGAAGAATGACTCTCGATTTGAAAGTTTTAAGTTTAAACAGTTGACCAAGGTTTGACTTTTGGGTTAACAGACTCGGAATATAGTTTTTATTGTTCCGATAGGTTCGTATGATAATTGTGGACTTATACATATGTTCGAATTTTGTTCTGGAGGTTCCTAGAAGAATTCAACTCTATTTCTTGAAAGTTGGCAATTAGAAGAACTTAAGAGTTCATAAGTTTAACCAAGAGTTAACTTTGATGTTATTAGACTCTAATTAGTATTTCGAGACTTTGGATAGATCTATATAGTTGACATAAACTTGTGTGCGAAGTTTAGAAGTACTCTGAAGTGTAAAAGTCTGATTTAGATACTCTTTTGACGGAATAAAGATTTAACAACCTAAGAGAAATTCTACTAGGTTTGAGCTTCGATTATTTGTTGTGATGTTCCCATGGTTATTTTGAGGCCTTGAATAATTTTGGATAATGGATATGAACTTATTGGTATAATTGGATGGGGCCCCAAGGGGCTCGGGTGTGTTTTGGGTCATTGGTTGAGAGACTGGTTAAGGATTTAGAGTTTGATCATGGTCAATATCAGGTCAAAATGACCTCTTTTCGATGTTTTGAGTGCACGAAAATATTTGTAGTATATTTTGTGATTGAAATGCATATATGGTTTGTGTCTGGGAGGTTCCGAATGAGTTTTGGGTGCTAAAACGAAGATTTTTTGTTATTGTCGATTTTTCTGGTGTAAATAATTACGAAAATACCAGTTATGTCGGTAATATTTTCAAACTCAAAATTTCTGACAACACATTCGAATACGAGTCCAACCGTACTAATTTCACTCAAATCCAACTCCGGATCAATGTTCAAATCTCAAATATTCAATTTAGAAAAGTTTAGACAAAAGCTCGCAATTTCTCATTTAAAATCATTAATCAAATGCTAAAGTCGACAATAGAATCATGGAATATAATTAAAATCGAGTAAAAAACACGTATCCCAATCCATGTGATGAAATTCCTCTCCAAAATTGCCCAAATCCGAGTTTCATAACTCAAAATGTGATAAAACAAAAAAAACCTCTTTTTATAACTTTTGCCGAGCTCTTTTGCATTTGTGAGCAAAGGGTCGCTTCTGCGGCATCGGTTCTGCAACAATTATCCCGCTGTTGTGGAAAATCTTGGAAAACCATCATTTCGCACATGCGGATAATGTCCCGCTTCTGCGCAATCGCTGGTGCGACACCAGCCCACTATGCTCATATTCGCTTCTGCTCTCCAAGCCACTACATCTACGTTGTCGTAGATGCGCTCAAAATCGTGCTACTGTGGAGATCGCCCAACTCCAGCCTTCTTCATAAGTGCTACCAATTTCCCCCTTCTACGACCACCACACCTGCACAAAACCAGTCACAGTTGCGCACAGAGGTGGATATAGTATATTACCAACGGGTTCAACTGAACCCATAACTTTCGACGCGGAGTAAAAATTTATAAGTAAAAATTCATTATAATTGGAAAATAGTAGATTTGAACACATAACTTTGAAAATATAATGGGTTCAATGCTAAAAACGTTAAAATTGAACCCAGAAAATTTAAATCCTGGATCCGCCTCTGGTTGCGCATCACCAGAACTAGCAGCAACCAGCACTCACACATGAAGGAAGAATGGTCTGAAATATGTCTGAAACTCACCTGAGCCCCTTAGGAACCGTCCGAATATACCAACTAGTCCCACAGCATAACACAAACCTATTCGAGGCCCCAAATCACACATAACAACATCAAAACCATGACTCGCACATCAAATCAAACTTAATAAACTTTCGAAGTTCCAACTTCCAAAACTCATGTCGAATCATATGAAATCAAATCGGAATAACCTCAAATTTTGCACACAAGTGCCAAATCACATAAATAACCTATTCCATTTCCCAAAAAAAACAATTTAAATTCGATATCATTAAAGTCAACTCTCGGTCAAACTTATGAACGTTCCATACCTTTAAATTGCCAAATATGGCCAAAACCTTCTTGAAGCCTCCAAATGCAATTTTGGGCATAGGCCCAAGTCCAAAATCACCATACAGACCTGATGGAACCATCAAAACTCTGATCTGGGTTCAAATTCACAAAATTTAAACTTGGTCAATTCTTTCAATTTAGTGTTTCCTAGTTGAAGATCATCCATTCCAAATCAATCCCGAATGACATGAAAATTAAAAATGATAATATATATATATGACATAATATATCATACGAAACTACTCATTCCTTCAAACCATTGAATGGAATGCAAATACTCAAAATAACTAGTCGGGTCATTACAATTTATTCTATGTTATATCTCATTACATGCTTTGATACTACATGTTCTTACTTGCTATTCATGCCTTATTTGTTATATGTCATTAAGTTATAACATGTTTCAATTAATTCACTTCTCGAACAATATATGCTTACTTGTTGTGTGTTCCTACCTGTATTAATTGTATATCTTCATTGATTCTTGTCCCTACTTGTCTTATTGTCTTTACCTTATTTATTGCCCTTTAGTAGGTTATATCCGATTGTGTGAATCCTTTGGCTATTCTTGAGTTAATGATTTGCTGAGATTTGTGAATATGAGATATCAGTTTCTCTTTGTTGTGCTAGTAGTTCCTTGGTGTTCTATACGTTTTAGTACCTTTTGTGTTGAGTATCGAATCTCATTGTATAGAATTGTTCACTTTAGTAAGTTGATATTGGGAATAGGTTACGCACTGCAATAGCATTAAAATGAATTGATAATGGGAATGGGTTGCACACTATAACAAATATTGATATAATATTAGTATCGGGTTGTACGCTGCAACAGATATTGTATAAATATAGGGATCGGGTTGCGCACCACAATAGAGTCTAATGTGTTGTAGTTGGTTGTAACTGTGGTGTTCTTTTTCTATACTATGACGTGAAGCTATGGAATTATGCTATTCTGGGCCCTTCTATTAGTTCGGGTTCGTTTTTATGGGTTTATCAGTTTTACTCTATATTATGTTGTCTTTTATTTATTATTCGTATAGGTTTATCGTAAGTGTCTTGTCATAGACTCGTCGCTACTTCATTGAGGTTAGGATAGATAGTTACAAAGTACATTGGGTCGATTATACTCATACTATACTCCTACACTTGTGCAAACCCCGGTATTGGTCCTAGCGACGCATAGAGGAGTTTGCTCGGATTCGACTTATTCAAGAGACTTGAGGTAGAGCTGCACGACATTCACAGTCTTTGAAGTCCCCTTCTATCGTGTTTTACTATTTCTCTAGTTTCAATTTGTTGTATTTTATTTCAGACCATATTTATAGCATTTTATTCGCTCATGTACTTGTGACTCCGGATTTTTGGGATTAGTATAGACTGTGTACTTATGTATTTATCATATATATCCATGGATATTTCAGTTATTAATTTTTATTATTATTATTATTATTATTATTATTATTATTATTATTATTATTTAATTGTTAAAATTGGTTAATTCTTTAGTTAACGTTGGGTTGCCTAGCAAGTGAATGTTAGGCACCATCACGACCCCTGTAGTTGGAGATTTCGGGTCATGACAAGTTGGTATCAGAGCTAGGTCTTGCAAGTCATGAGCAAGCTTAGTAGATTCTTGAGATCGGTACAGAGACGTCTGTGCTTATCTTCTAAAGGCTATAAGGTGTTAGAGAAATTTCACTTCTTTCTTTCTCCATTGTACAATTTTATTCTATCATTAAGTTATTCTTATTCTCTCATAGATGGTGAGGACACGTACAAAATCCGCAACCGATTAGGAGCCAGAGCCCCAGGTTCCAGCCACTACCATGGTAGGGGATAGGACTAAGGGAGTGCCAGAGGCTGAGGTAGAGCTCAGCCTAGAGCATGTGCAGTAGCACCTATTGCATAGCCTCAGATCGAGCAGGAGGAAGAGGTCTCATTTCAAACCGTGCCAGTTGAACCAGTTCAGGTCCTAGAGGGGTTCATTACCACCGATTACTTCGGGACGTTATAGTCCACTTGGTGGGCCTTATGGAGAGCGTGGCCTAAGTCGGTGTATTTCTTGTTATACCAGCCATCTTTTCGGCTTGGGGAGGAGCCCAGACTCTTGCTACTCACAGTTCAGAGCAGATGACTCATGGATATCAGACTTCGGTAGTTCTAGTATTTAGAGCAGTTCAGTTTATTACTGTTACACAGTCTAGGGAGGGTCTCCGATGTCATAAAAAGGATCGAAGAGGTTGGACAGA